TTACTATGCTGAACATTCTGCTGGAGAGACAGCGAGCATTCGTAAGTGCCACAGCCGTGCCACTGCCCACAAGCGTGTGGCTCTGCTCGTGCCCCAGAGCAGTGCCTGCCTCCGCCCAGACCGAGTACTGCCCTGGGCCCGCTTCTCGGGCGTCCCCAGCTCTGACCCTTCCTCGCCTCTTCTGCTTTCAGGTGTCCCTTGGCCAGCCCCCCAGCCCGCTGCTGCTGATAGCGCCCACGCCGCTCATGACATGGCTGCAGCTGTACCACAACCACTGCCAAGAGATTCTTGGCCACACCGAGTGAGTGCCCCACAGGTGGCTAAATCCGCGGGAAACAGCCGTGGGGTTCGTGGCTCAGGGCGTACCGCTGCTGTGCCGCGTGCTGCACAGGCCAATCAGCTCCGTTTCCATGGATCTCTGCAACTCCGAGCTCTTCTGTGCAGCAGATCAGAGACTGGGCAGCAAAATGCCACCTCACTGCAAACCTAACCAGCCCAGCGGATCTCACATGCCCCCTTGCTCCCTCCTCCCCTGGGGCCTGAGCATGCACATGGGGTTTGTGGCAGACACTGATGGGCTGGAGTGTGGCTCCAAGCCTCCCTCCTTGTGGCAGGCTGGCAAAGTACTTGGATTCTTTGGGACTCGGTGTGTAGTGTCGGTCACCGTGTCCAAAGGCCTGCGCTTGGGAGCCAGGTCTGAGCAGCGGCCAGGAAGGACTGCTGCAGCTGGGGCAGGAGAGCCCAGACCTGTCCCCTTTGCAGGGTTCTGGCTTGTCCCCTGGGCACGTTCCCATCGGGTGTCCTTTGAAAGGAGTTTGATTGCTGAATTGCACTAGCCCTTTGTGAGCTTGCCTGGCCCTCCAGCCATGCAGCAAGACCAGGGCAGAGACCAAATCGGGCATGAAGCCACAGGCAGGAGAGTGGCAGAACAAGATAGAAAGGACTCTGGGAGGGGAAAGGAATGGGAAGAGGGTACTGGGAGGATGGAGGGAGTGTACGGCACCGCCCGAGGGTGCTGGACAGGGTGTGGTGAGGATTAGCAGCCCGAAGCTGGGGCGTGACTGCCTCAGCACAGACCTAGGACACGTGTCCTGGGGAAACCTCGCTGCGTGCCAGGCGGCTGCCCTTCCCAAATGGAACGTTCTGCTCAGCTGATTTGAACAATAGTTTTCATTGTAGCCTTGACTTCTACCCGTCTCCCTGCTTGCTGTGCAGTATGATTCCTATCAAGCTTCTGGTGGAAGGGGCGAAAGCCATGGGGCCGAAAGCCGAGGCGCTCGTCAGCTCGCTGCTGGCGAAGTACGACTTGGTGCAAGTAAGTGGCCAATGACAGGAGAAGGTATTGAGAAAAGCGGAAGGGTAACCTACGGCGGGTAATGATTGTGGCCTTCTTCAGTTCCAGACGTGCGAGGTCCGACACTGTAGAAATGCCTTTGCCTGTTTGCTGGAACACACATCTGGCTGGAGAATCGTCTATTCTGGTGACACGATGCCCTGCGAGGCCTTGGTCCGAATGGGTGAGTCGAACGCAGGCCGGCGGGAAACGCGCTCTGTTGTCACCTTGTGTTGTGAGCCAGGCAGGTGTGGACAAACCCTCGCAGCATCAGGGTGCGTCTCCTCCCAGTCCTGCCGGGGGTGGCCTGGGCTCTTAGTGCAGCCAGTGACTCTAAGCACTCTGAGAAGTCGTCTAGCTGCACTGGTCAGGTGGGCCAGATTGGGGTCAGAGGAGCCCGCTTGCCCCCCAGTCAGCGTAGTACCTGTCTGCCCCAGCCCTGTGTCTGCTCCGCTGGAGCACGGAGTGAGCATTGGCGCTCTCGCAGGGAAAGGGGCTACGCTGCTGATCCATGAAGCAACGTTAGAGGATGGCTTGGAGGACGAGGCGGCAGAGAAGACGCACAGGTAAGGCACTTCTGGGAGGTCGGCTCTGCCTTCCAAGATCCGGGCATCGCCCTCGGCCCTCGTGACCAAGGCTTCTGCTTCCGGAGCTTCCCTGGGTGCACGGAGTCCGGCAGGCTCCCGTCAGTTCGACCCCGTCTGGTTCTGTGGCCTCAGGCCAGGGAGGGGTCGCGGGAGGAGGGTGCTCTGCTAGAGGCCTGCAGCTGGCCTGGAGCGAGGACTCGGCTCATTCGGCAGCATCTCCAGGCCCAGTTGGTGCCTTGCGAAGGCCCGACCCGAAGGGATGCGGGCGTGCTGCTGGCATGTCGGGGGTGGGACAAGACGCGACAAGCATCCAGCTCTGCCCCCAGCTTGCAGCGGCCTTGCTGCCCCTCGTGGCTGGAGGGGGGATGGGCGCCACGTCCCAGCAGGGAAGCTGCCTTCCGGCACCAGCTGCTAAAACAAGAGTGGCCCAAGTTCCCGTGCACGCGAGCTGTGTCTGGCACCTTGGGCCAAGGCTGGGGGCGCTGGTCCTTCGGAACGCGGCCCCCAGCTCCTCTCC